CCAACCCCTGGGCCCAGCATCCCAGGACGTAGAGATGCTGAGGGGGTGGAGCAACATGCCGTGATGGCCCTTGGCGGGCCGGTTAGAAAGGACCCGAGGGGGAAGCAGCAGGGTGGTTTGCACTGCAGCAGCCCCTGGGCACCCCGGGGGAGATGCTTTACCCCACCCAGGTGGAGGAACCGGCTGAGCCTCTCCGGAGGCAGCAGCAGTGAGAGAGAAACCCGGGTGGATGACAGAGCTGTAAGCTCCAAGGGCCCATCCGGAGGGACTGGCACATGGGGAGGGGATAGGAAGCAGCCTGGGGCAGAGCGCATTTGGCGCCCGTGGGCTGACGCACTTCAGGGTGGAACCCCGTCAGCTGGGTAAGGGTTAACCACCCTGAACCCTTAGGGCCCCGGGCTGGAGCCCAGTTCCCCCTAAATTCCCCTCCTCCCACACACGGTACTCCAGTTGTATACGGCGTAATCGTCTGACCAACCTTGAGAGTAAAAGAGTGTCACTGTTGAGCCCCAAAGTAGGGGCAGGATAGGGACCACAGGGATTCCCCTTTTTTCCTCCTCGCCCCCTCCCCCGCACCAGACCTTTGGAGACAGTGGGCTCGCTGGGCCCCATTCTCCATCTGGAGGGGGGAGCTTGCGCCCTTAAGTACGTTGCACAGGGGGTAGACTGAGGCGGGGGGCTCACGGGGCCCCATCCTCTGGCCAGAGGGGGGAGCTCATGCCCGTAAACCCGCCACCCCCCCCCTTCCGTTCACTCTCACCTCTTGTTCGTCCCTGGTTCTGCAGCTTCCCCCTTTCCTCCCTGGAAGGGTCTCGTTTCATGAATTCATGTCTCCCGAGCTGAGAAGGGGAGTGGGATGGAAGCGGGCGGGGAGAGGAACTGCCAGTTGTTCAGCAGCTTGGTGCCAGCTAATGACTGTGGCTGACCATAATTGCGGGGGTGGGAGGGATGCCGTGGGTCCGTCATGCAGACGGGACAAGCAAGGCCAGGTTTGCGGGCTGAGCCGTGTTCTCTGCAGCTCTCTTAACAATGGCATTTACTTCAGCAGGTGTCAGAGCTTCTATGCGCAGGGTCCCTGCAGGGGGCTGTCCTGCGGCCAGTTCAGACAGCGTCAGGCACCAGGCAGATTTAGAGAGTGAAAATTTCGTGCTTAGAGAAGGACAGCTAGGGTCCCTGGAAGCCGTTCTTCCCCACAGGTAACGGGCGTCGGATGCAAGCGAGGATGGAGTCCTGTGTTCAGTTCCCTGCCCGTGGGTAGGGCTAAGGGAAGCGTGGAGCAAATGTTGAGTCTTCCCACACCAGCCCTGGCCTTGTATTGACATCTGCATCGGGGCACAGAGATGTGAAATGCTACATGAGAATTGCACTGGGGGTGGGGGGCGTGCAGGGATTTGTCAGAGAAGGTGAAGGATGCAAGCGAGGATGGAGTCCTGTGTTCAGTTCCCTGCCCGTGGGTAGGGCTAAGGGAAGCGTGGAGCAAATGTTGAGTCTTCCCACACCAGCCCTGGCCTTGTATTGACATCTGCATCGGGGCACAGAGATGTGAAATGCTACATGAGAATTGCACTGGGGGTGGGGGGCGTGCAGGGATTTGTCAGAGAAGGTGAAAATCCACCCCACCCGCCCCCGTCTGAACAGGGTGCAGCATCCGAAATGCTTGCCCAGCTCGTTCCTGTCGGGCCAGACTGGGGTGGGCCCGGCCTCCATCCTGACAGCCGGGTTTGGGGAGCCCGGGAATCCTCCTGAAGCAGCCTTTGGAGCTGCACAGCAGTGGGACCAGTTTGCACCCTGCAGCAGGCTTCTGCAGCCGGCCGCCCCTGCCCTCCCGCGGTGCTCTGTCCCTTTCAGTGCCAGGGTTTCTGTCGTGGGTGCAGGCTTTCCCCTGCTGGTTTTTGCAGCTCATGAGAGGCAAAAATGCCCTGGTTCCACCCTGATGGTACCTAGCCATAGATGCCACAGAGCAAATGTCATGAAGCTGCTTCTGTTTACCGACCTGCAGGATAAAATAGAAGCCACAACCTCCAAATCCTAGCCCTTCTTCTCCGTTCTTCCTACTATTTGTATAATAACAGCATTTATCAAATACTGTGCACTTAATTCTCACAGAAGCTCTATTAGGTAGGGAAGTGTTATTTCCCCCATTTTACGGATGAGGGTACCAAGGCATGGGGAGGTCACATGACTTGCCATGGGCACAGAGAGGGTCAGTGTCAAGGTTGGAACAAGAACTCAAAACTTTGGATTCTCAACCGCCTGCTGAAATGTCTTCTGGCAGTTTCCTGTCTTTCCCCGCAGGCCTGGTGCCTGCGGCTCTTGCCAGGACTGGCATTTAAAGATCACATGCTGCCTCGTTTGGGATTGCCCAGGCCTGGGGATTGTAGCAGGCACAGAAGGGCAGGGCTGCAGGCCGAGTGCTAAGATTCATTTCGTCTTAAATAGCAACGAAAGGTCAAGAGGGATCACAGCGGGGAGCCGCTGGTGACGTGATAGTTGGATGTAAAACTGCGTTCTGTTTCTAGAATGAATCATATTTATTTTTAACATATGTTCTGCTGTTGGGTGAAATGCCTGGTAAATGGCTCCTTGTTGCAGTCCGTGACTTGGATACATAACCAGTGTCAAGAAGCCATATGCCATTAGTTTCCTCCTCTTATCCCTGCTGCTACTGCTGCCCATTGACTTATTACCTGTTTTGGTTCCTCCCGGGAGTGTCCTGAAATTGGCACACGATGTAGATTTTTGAAAAGTGACTTAGGCATTTAGGGACTAAGGGGCTCCTTAGTCACTCAGGTGCTTTTGAAAATGCTGCCCATAAAGACTGGGGAAACCACAGAGGATTGTCCTTAATTGTTATGGGCTAAACCTCAGTGGTCATCTGGCCCAATGGTGAGAGGAAATATCTTTTTGCTTGGTGGGCCACTGTAGCTGCAGCTAATAGTTGCCTTAGAGGAAAAGCTCAGGTTGTTCCCACTCAATAATAATAATAGTAGTAAATAAGAATAATATCGTATATTGCACCTTCTCTCTGAGGATCTCAAACATTAAAAGAGCCTCTTAAACACCCTCTAAGTCAGTGTTTCTTTAACTGGGTTCTGCGGCATGCTGATGTGCCGCGGAGAACAACAGATTTCAAAATGGCAGCCCTTAAAGGGGCAAGCAACCTTTTTTTCCTCAATAACTTTCCCCCGACACTTTTTTTCCCTCAATAACTTTCTCCCTTGCCCTTTTTCCCCTGTTTTTTTTTTTTTTTTTTTTTGGCTCAACAAAAAATCCTTGGTGTTCCTCATTTAAAAAAATATATTGTTTGGTGTTCCTCGGTCTTAAAAAGTTTAAGAAACACTGCTCTAAGTAGAGCCCTGCATGGATACAAAATTGGTATCTGCATCTGCAAAAATGATCTGCAGATACTTACATCAGCATATGTGGATACCTGGGATTATAAAGTGGATATCTGCAGATTTGTAGGGCTCTACTGGTAAAGCAGGTTAAAGACTTTGCTCCCATTTTACAGATGAGAAAAATGAGGCCTAGAGAGGGACGTGACTTATGCTGTCAGTGCCTGGAATGAACTTCCAACCACATGCCCTCTTTACCAGGTCACCCTCTGAGCATTATTGGGTGCTGACAGTTGTGGGGACAGATTTACAGGTCAACCGAGGGAGCCTCAATCTGCTTCTGTTTCATTATAAAGGTGCTCACCCTGACTGGACTCAGCCTGAAAGCTCATTAGAACAACTCCAGTAGATTTCCTGCATCTGTTCATAGTCTGTCGTAAGCCCTTGGACTGCATCCAAATCTGGCTTTGTGGTTTGCAGCAGGGCCCCTTGTGAGATAGGAGTGTGGAGGAGGGATTGGACTATCATCCGCCTGCTTTTACATCTGGTCATGCTGCTGGGGAGGGGGAGTTGGTGCTAGTAAATGCATTGTGCCTCTGTTACGCCATTGCTTGTTCAGACCAGCCTGTCAGGGTCTTCCTCACCTCTTGAGTTGGAAGGGGTGAATTTGTTCCCGCTCATGATTCACGTAGAGCAAAGTGATGGCATTTAAAGTAGCAAATCCCACTCACCCTCATGAAGTACGAATACCTGGATCTTCCAGCCAGCATATTGGTTTAGGGCAGGGGTGGCCAACCAGTTAGAGACGATGAGTCAAAATAGCAGTGGAGAGAGTATAAAGAGCCATGCATTATATATTTATTTATATCTATCTATAGAGAGATAGACAGACATAGTACGCAAGATGTAGTGATAAAAATAACATTACAGGACATTTTGGACAAAAAACAATAAAAAAGTCTCTAGTCACTTAAAAAATTCACAGACAGTCCATAGATCTTCAGAGAACTTGACAAGGAACAAACATCAGAAACTTTAAAAATACAGTAATAGTCCCACACTAAAAAAAAAAGCATCCCCACCATGTATTTTAAATTTAACACGACTGCCCTATTATGTCCTGTGAGTTTTTAAAAATTAAACTGAACTGAGAAGTAAATTAGCACAACCTGAAGTGCCTGTTTCACTCCAACTGGTTGATCTCAGGTATGGCTTCCTCATTTTTTTTTTATTTATGATGATGATGGCTTTTTTATAGTTCTAAAAATTCAAATATGACCGGTTCAAAAACAATAAGGGAGAGACTCATGTCTCAGAAGAATTGCTTCAGCCTGGCAAACAATAGCCTTTGAATTTTCTTTAAAGAAACTCTGTGTAGACCAGCTACATGCTGATTCTTTTTTTGCCCTGGAATTTAAATATGACATCTGTGTTGGCTGCCTTATTCTGCATCCGTGAAGACTTTGAGTTTAAGGTGCTTCAGTCCCCCCACCCCCGCCCTGCTCTAACCCAATTCCTTTCCTCTCTCCCAGAGCCAGGCACATCCCCCCCCTCACTCTAAACCAATGCCTGGGTTCTGGAGTTGCCCCCATGCGCTTCTCCCTCCAGGCACTGGGGCACGTGTGCAGAGTGGCTGGACATGAGAAGTCCAAGTGCGTAGCTCAGAACTAGCAAGAGCCGCATGCCGGTCAAGAGCTGCTGGCTGGCCACCTCTGGTTTAGGGCATAGAAATACTTGGACGCTCATTGAAAATTGTGGATGTTGCTTGCATCATTGGGAGCCTGACTCAGGCTGCCTGGGATGCTGCTGGCAAGGGGTCCTCTGCTCTGCATCTGCTGTAAGCCGAATGACAGAGCGGGGTGTGCCTGGGAGCAGCGAGGACAGAGCTGCTAACACAGCAGCCAGGATCTGGAGCTACTTCTGACAGGAGAGAAAGGGAGAGATGCAGTCGTCTTATCTGCCGGGACTCACCACCTCTCTCCCTCGCTCACGCTGCTGGGCTCTGAGCATCGCCAGCATTTCTGGTGCCCCTAGGTGGGACCCCGGGAAAAGCCCAAAGGTGAAATCTGGATG